AAACAAACCGATCATACCACAGAACTTCTTGCTAAGACTAAAATTCTATCAATTAATCAAATTAATTTTTATCTTCAAACATTATTTACTTTTAAATTCTTAAGAAATCTTTTACTTCTATATTATTCAGAAATTATTCTTCCATTATTCAAATTCATATAAATCAATTATTTCAAGGCAAAATCATACTTTCTATATAAAAACATCAAAAACATCTAGATTAAATTTGTATATTTTGTAACAATTGTATATCTCACACTGCCCCTAAATTATGGAACAGTGTGATTCCCTTCAACATTAAAAACATCGATAATCTGGCATCATTTAAAAAAAATCTCAAAATTTTTGCTTGTACTTATAAATCTCCATGAATCCTTGTGCTTACGGACTATCCTACCGGGCATTATTCGTTACTCTGACTGTTTACGTTTTGTATGCATATTTTTCATCAATTTGCCATCTACGATCATATCTTAGAAAAATGTTGTTTATATTTTTGTAACTGTGCAGATGGTGTTTATATGTGAGAGAAAATGTGTTTGTATACTTCTGCAAAAGTTTGATCATTGTTGTTTTCTCATTGAATCATTGTAGAACATTTTTAGTTAATAAACTATTACGAGTTTTTTTTCTGTTTATTTTTGTATCTTTGGAGAAAATAAACAATATATATGTATGTATGTATAGATATGGTTAATTAAATAAGTGTGTGTGTATGTGTGTATGTATGAATATATTTCACGTTACTCTGACTTCTAGGTTATGTATATATATTTTTATAAATTATCATCTACTATCATAACTTAGAATAATGTTTTATATACAACACACGTTTAGACGATATTTTCCTCGAGATCGGGGGTTGCCGTTTGGCTACCTATGATGAAACCGAAATACCCCTCGACGCCATCCACATCTGTCACTCGCCTCAGTATCACACAACCACGCTTTCACCCTGTCCTTCTCCACCTGCTCTCTCCATCAATGTCACAATGTCCTCATTCAGTCCCATCATTGACATCAGCTCTGTACTACTCCTCCTATCATTCACTTTAACCCCACACATCATCCTCACCATAGCTCTTTCAGCCCTCTGCAGTACACTTTCCTCTTCTCTCATCAACACTCAAGTTTCACCACCATATACCATCGCTGCTCTCACACATGCTTTATACACCCTCCCTTTCATTTTCACTGACCATTTCTTTCCACACAATACCCCACCCAGTTCCCTAAATTTCATCCATACTACAGCGTTCAAACATCCTCCATCCGCGTTCAGCTTAACTTCTAAATAAACAAAGCTTTCCACTCTTTCAATACCACCACTCAACCCCGTCCTTGCGTCCGTCCTATTAATCACACCATGAACACATTTCTTACACTTGAACGTGCCTTCCACTTTTTTCAGTACCCCCTCACACCACTACATCTCTTATGCACCCATTTCTGACATCCTATACACAATACCGAGTAAGCCTTCACTCTCCTGTCACATACCCCACAGGGGTCTATTTTACTTATCACTCGCTCCCCACGTTCCCCACTCACCATTACCTTCATCTTACCAATATTAACTTTTAACCCTTTCTTTCCAATAACACTTTTCCATCTGTCAAATTTTAACTGCAATTCTTCCATGCTATCAGCCATCAAGACTAAATCATCTGCATACAAAATCTCAAATAACAACCCCTCCATTATGTTTCCACACACAACATCCATCACAATGGCAAACAGAAATGGTGATAACACTGATCCTTGATGCACTCCTACCTTAACACTAAAAGCGTCCGACATCCCCCTTCCAACCCTCACCTTTGTCTTTGCCCCTTCATACAGCTGCATCACAGCTTTAACAAGTCTCTCTTTCACTCCTTTCTTCCTCTACGCCCCTTCAATGACCTTCCTCGGTACTCGATCAAAAGCCTTTTCTAGATCCACAAAACACATGTACAATCTTCGTTTCTTCTTTCTATAATTCTCCTGCAACATTCTCACCATGAACAACGCATCCACCGTTCCCCTACCAGGCATAAACCCACACTGCATTTCATTAACTGTCACCATATTTCTCAACCTCCTCTCAAGCACCCTTCACTACCTTCATTCCGTGCTCTAGCAATTTCACACGCCTATATGACCCACAATCTCTCACATCTCCTTTGCCCTTATACAACGGCACCAACACACTGTGTCGCCAATCCTCAGGTATACCTTCATCATCAAACATACTGTTAGCAATTTTCATCATAACTTCAATTCCTATCACCTCACTCGCTTTTATATGTTCTGCCGCCACTTCCGAAACCACTGTCGCCTTACCTAGTTTCATTTCTCGAACTGCTTTCTCTACTTCCTCCATCGTCACCTTCTCTATAGGTCCGTGTGTGACCGCGGATTCCACATCTCCATCCCACTCATTCTCTTCATTCATCAACCTTTTCATATGAGCTTTCCACACCTGAGCTTTTTCCTCCTCATCTATGCACAACTTGCCAGATCCATCCCAAACACATCCATTCCCTATAACATCTTTCCTATCCCTCATTGACTGCTTTGCTACTTTGAACATTTTCCTCGAACTCACATCAAATTCCATTTCCTTCATTAACCTATCTGATGCTTTCGTCATTGCAGTTGCCACTGCCTGTTTTGCAACCTTCTTAGCCTTCCTATACTCAAACTCCGCTTCCTCCATCATGTCCCTTCTCCATACCCTAAACCTCTCCTTCTTGACCTCCAAAACCCTTCTTATATCTTCATCCCACCACCACGTCTCATCATGCCTACACTTTCCTTTCGTCCATCTACATACTTTATCTGCCGTAGCCAACACACAGTCCCTGTATCTCTCCAAAACATCTCCATCCTTACCACTCTCCCAATTTTCAGCCACCTTCTCTTCAAATGCCTTCCTCACCTCTGCATCCTGCAACTTCCATGTCTTTCTCTTTGCCACAAACTTATCCTTCTTTCTCTTCCCCATTTCTTTTGATGTTACATCCATCTCAACCATACTATGCTACCGCATACCAGGTATCTCCTTCACATTCTTCACATACTTCCTATGTTTGGCCCTTACCAACTTCAACTTCCATGTATTTCTCTTTGCCACAAACTTACCCTCCTTCCTCCTCTCCATTTCTTTTGATGCCACATCCATCACAACCATACTATGCTGCAACATACCAGGTATCGCCTTCACATTCCTTACACATTTTCTATTCTTCGCCCTTACCAATATATAATCTATCATTAACCTATGCTCCCCTGACCTAGATGTAATCAATCGCGCTGGTTCCCTTGTAAACCAGGTATTCCCCACCACCATGCTATGTGAATCCGCCAACTCCAACACTCTACGCCCTTCCTCATTCCGTATACCATATCCCCATCTCCCAGGTACACCTTCATATCCGTCTGCATCCGCCCCCACATGACCATTCAAATCACCCAACAACACCACAAACTCATCCAACCCCGCTTGCCCAATCTCGTCAGAAACATCATCATATAACCTATCCTTCTCCTCTTCGTTCGTAATTTGTTGCAGAGCATATCCTGATATCACCCTCACTATTACACCATCACCACCACAATTACACCATTGCTTCTCCGCCTCACTTCCAACACCTTCTCCACCAACTCTTCTCTTACCATCACAACGCAACCCAACTCCTCCCGTACCATCATTCCCCTTCCACCACAACTTATATCTTCCTCCTTTAGCCCCCACAAACCTTGTACCCTCACCCTTCTATCTGATCTCCTGTAATGCAGCCACGTCAACCATTCTCCTCTGCAGCTCCTCCACCACTTCCAAACTTCTTCCTGTCAACGTGCCTACATTCCAGGTACCAAACCTCCAACCCCTTGGTCTACAAGTAGTCCTTCCATCTATAGTACCTTGCACCGCCACATTATAGTGTGGGGTGCCAGTAGCCAGACCATCCACAGGGCCTTGCACCACAACCCCATGGACTGGGTCTCCGGAGATTCTTCGCACCCTCTTCTGCCGGATACTGAGGGCCACTGTTATTTCCGTCATCATAAGTATTATTTTTTTTGGCTAGTTTTTACGCAGGACGCCCTTCCTTACGCAACCACAGTTATAAGCGGCGGGCCTAGCCTTTGATCATCCAACATCACTCACAAGGCAGTGAGGGTCAGTTTAATGTCATAACCAGGACTTAGAATAATGTTTTATATATATTTATATAATAGAATGTTTTATATATATTTATATAATAGAATAATGTTATATATATATTTATATAATAGAATAATGTTTTATATATATTTATATAATAGAATAATGTTTTATATATATTTATATAATAGAATAATGTTTTATATATATTTATATAATAGAATAATGTTATATATATATTTATATAATATATATATATATATATATATATATGTATATAATTTGGTATGAGGTTCTCAGATAAACATGTACGGTTGAAGATTACACCCCATTTTGCAGTTAGAAGTTTTTTAAATAAAATTTCAACAACACCAAGCTGTTTTTGACATATATATATGTGTGTGTAACCATGCAATGTTTCTGTATATTTTTGCAAAAGTTTGGTCATTTTAGTTTTCTCATCGTAATATTTTTGACAATTTTTAGTTAAGGCACTATTGCAAGTATCTTTCTGTTTACTTTTTGTGTCTTCGAAGAAATAAATAAAATAAATAAATAAAAAATATATATGGTTAAGACTTTAAGACTGTCAGAAATGCAATTATTGATGAAAATCACAGCATGTTCTGCATCAGTTAGCTTCATATTTAATTTTTCTATCTTTAGATCTTAAATCATTGTAAAATTACAACCAAAATTTTTTGTTTATTAAGCTTTTTTGTTCTATCATGTCTAAATATTCTATCATGCTTGAAATAAATAGAAATTTTGGTTTTGAACTCTAGAAACTTGGCAATAATGTATAATGTACCGTTAGAAAAATTAAACAGAAAGTTAACTAACGCAGAACATACTGTGATTTTTATCTTAAAGCAGGTTTGAATGCACGGCTTATGTTTTGTGAGTGAGATAATTTATCCGTTCAGGGCTTTTAATTATGAACATGAAACTTAATACTAATTCTTCTAAACGTTCTTGAATATAATTCTTGAATATAATTTTACTAACTATGTTAAATAACTAGGCGTTCACAAGTAAACTCGAGAGCATTTTAGCAAATAATTAAGTTGTCTATATATATATATAATTCTTGTTTATATATATATATATATATATATATATATAATTTGGTACGAGGTTTTCAGAAAGATATGTTCGATTAAAAATTATACCCCAATTTGTAGTTATTTGCTTTTTAAATAAGACTTCAACAAGACGTAGTTTATCAGACTCATATTTATTTCAGCCCGTGATTTGGCTGACGGCTGTTTCGGCTAGTGTCATCGTCAGAGCCTAAAATTACATGTATTAATTATTTAATATAAATATTGTATTGAATTATATGAAATATTAAATCAATTAAAAGTTACTGATAAATGTGGCCTAAAATAAATGTCAGCATGTTTGATAACCTCTGTAAAATCAACATATTATAAGTATATATATATATATATATATATATATATATATATGTTGGTAATAGACCATAATTTTTACAATATTCTATAAATTCTACCGAATGCTTGGCGTTAATATGTTTGTAGTTCGTTTTTTCGATTTTTTTCACTAAAGTTTTTTGGTGAACGTTTAGTTTATTAAAATTCAAAATAAACTTATTTTTCGAATTCATGCTGCAAATAAGGCCATATTTCGATTCCGAATGAATCATCGTCAGTGCTCCTTGCAGTATATATAGGGAAATATTGACTTTGTCAAGATTAACTTTGACGTTGTAAAAATTAACTTTGGTGTTGTAAAATTGAACTTTGATGCGAATTAGGTGTCAGGTTTCTTAATTGGCTGGTCATCTTCTTTGGTCTCCTTTTCTTCATCGATAGCATCATATTCTTCTTTGTCACTATTTACGATGCTAGTTTTTATTACTTCTTTGTTTTTGTTGTTGGTTAAGCGCCGGGTTGGAAGTGAGGTTGTCATTTTTTGTTGTATATTTATTTTTGGATTATTGATGTCGATAAACAAATTACTACACAGCAATAACCTTCCTAGTACCAACAATCACGATAACGACATCATCTTTTATTACAGAAATCACATGTCAACAGCATACAAGGTAGATGAAGCTATTCTTAAGCATATCATCAATAAAAATGTTACACCAACCAACCCAAATAGTAAAGTTAAACTCCGAATTTATTACAACAATAAAAAGACGTCTCACCTAATACTGAAAAACAACTGCAGTCCTAGAGATAACTCTGAGTTAAAGCGTAATCACGTAATATATGAATTTAATTGCCCGTTTGACGGCTGTGCACGTCAACATGACTCATATATCGGGATTACCTCACTGACTAGAAGGCTTACGATGCATAAACAGAGTGGTGCTATCAAATCTCATTTGGACTCAACACACCCAATCACAATTAGCCGTGAAATCCTCGACAGCAACACCAAAGTAATATACCAGAACAGCAACTACACGCATCTTAAAATTGCAGAAGCTGTCCTAATCGACATCAATAAACCAAAAATAAATATACAACAAAAAATGACAACCTCACTTCCAACCCGGCGCTTAACCAACAACGAAAACAAAGAAGTAACAAAAACTAGCATCGTAAATAGTGACAAAGAAGAATATGATGCTATCGATGAAGAAAAGGAGACCAAAGAAGATGACCAGCCAATTAAGAAACCTGACACCTAATTCGCATCAAAGTTCAATTTTACAACACCAAAGTTAATTTTTACAACGTCAAAGTTAATCTTGACAAAGTCAATATTTCCCTATATATACTGCAAGGAGCACTGACGATGATTCATTCGGAATCGAAATATGGCCTTATTTGCAGCATGAATTCGAAAAATAAGTTTATTTTGAATTTTAATAAACTAAACGTTCACCAAAAAACTTTAGTGAGAAAAATCGAAAAAACGAACTACAAACATGTTAACGCCAAACATTCGGTAGAATTTATAGAATATTGTAAAAATATATATATATATTAAAATTTAATGAGTTAATGTTACACTAGGTAATTGAACACTAGGTAATTCTCTTTATGACGAGTTGGGCAATCTCAAAAAAGAAAGTAATGCAAGATTCGTCAAGTGGTCGGATGGAAGGTTGGTTTTTTTTTTAATTTTGTTTTGTGTTGTCGTGTGTTCAAATACAATGTAAGATAGAAATTAAATTTAGATTAAAATGTATTCTATGATTGGTCTGATTATATACAAAAAAAATGTTTTTAAAAAATATTTATATATTAATTAAATAATTAATTAATTAAATTTATTTTTATAGTTTATCACTTCATTTGGGCAATGAAGTGTTTGATGTGTACACTATGGGATTGAGATCCGATTACAATCATCTCTATGTCAGGCAGGGACTTGGATTACAAGGTCAAGCTGTTTTTAAGACAAAACTAACATTCAGGTATTGTAAAATATTTCCAGATATTTTATATTTAATGAAATATAATTTAATAAAGTTTTTGCTTCTTTTGGATAAATTAAATTCAGCTTAGATATTGATATTCATATTGAGATATTTTAACTAATAAATCTTATTGCTAACTTTTTGCAGACCGCATTCAACGGACTCATTCACCCATCGTAAAATGACAATGTCCCTGGCTGATCGGTCCAGTAAAACTCAGAAAGTTAAAGTTCTACCAATTGTTGGCAAGGACCCTGAATCACAAAGAAGCGAACTGATCAAGGTTTACATCCTCTCTTTTAGCCTCTTCGTTTTTGAATTGATTAGTTAATATCTAATTAACTATAATATTTATATATAATTAATTATCTAATCTTAGGATTGCTAGTACGTCCTACCTCGGGGAACCGGGTCTCTGGACGCAAAACGAAGATTGATTGATTGATTGATTAGTTAATATCTATATTATATATGGAGCAATAAACATAATATTGTGTCACTTTTTGTCTGACATTTACTTGTAGCTTTATTAATATTGGTGATTTTTCAAAATAATTTCAACAGAAAGAAGATGAACGTTTGAAAGCCGTGACAAGAAGGGAAAACCAGCAAAGGAGGATGAAAGAAAAAGTAAGTTTGTTGACTGAGCTCCTCTTTTTCCTGCCTTTTTAGTTGCTTTTGTTGTTTTATTACTTTCTGGCATATTTCTGATATGTAAAAGAATGTTGTCACATAGTTTCTTTCTTTTCTTCATTTCTTTTATATGTTGGCACAGGTCCACCACAGAGGATTAAACTCAAACTACCTGGACGCTGATTATGAGGATGACGATGACGACAACGTCATATCATTGTCTGCTATCAAAAAGCAACATAAAAACAAACGTTAGTTAAACATATAATGAATAATTTTTGCCCTATCACGTGTGCCTTTGTTTAGTAAAGAAATTTTTAATTTTGTTTTACCTATCGACGTTTTATGATTTTATGCCAAAGAGCCTGAAAAGTTTATTTAAATATTTTATTTTCCACAGCAATCTACAGTTCAAATAGTGACGACGACAGTAGTTTGGAAGGGGGCAAAAAGAGAAAGTTGAACAAAACCAAGCGAAAAGAATCCGAGGTGTCCAATGATTGCTAATGATTTTAATTTTTTTAAATAAAATTATTTAGTATACTATGAGCTTTTCTAATTTGTAGACGATCTGGTTTGGTTTGCATAGAATCTTATTTGAATGCTTTGATTTTTTTTTAATAATTGAGTCACGGGGGTTGATTTTAATACAAAAACTTTTTATATTGCTGATGTTATAGAAATGTATGAAAATTTTTCAATCCTATTCAGTTATGTTTTCATTTTTCTTACCAGGATGAATCTGAAACCGAAATTGGAGGTGCCAAGAAAAAAGGCAAAATTTCTTATAGTGATGATGATGAAGAGTAACAAAAAATATTAATTTCTTGTTTTTCAGATCATTTTTTGGAAAATGACTTTGTTTTGTTAAAATTATAAAATGCTGATATTTATTCCCATCTGAACAGTTGCTATCTTTCAAATGTTAGACATATTTAAAATGGTTACATGCCAGTTAATCTTTTTTTAAAATGTTTCAATTTATCGTGAAAAAACTTGGTGATTGTTGTGCCGAGCAAACCAATTTGAACTAATTGCTTGTTTGAGATTATCAGCTTATTTAAAATATGATATAAGGGCTATCATTACACTACCTTCCAAGAGCACCTTGTCAACGTTTGTCAGTAATGTAACTGTACTGAGGCGCGTTACTCATTTCAAGCGTTCACGCTGTGCATATAAAGGGAATTTTTAATGTCAAAAATTGTCATTGCGCCGCTACTTTCAATGAACGGTACCAGCGACATCAATTTACACTGTGCTTGCCTTTTATTATTGTTTTGATCTTTCTCCGTCAGTATTGAAATTTTGTAAGCTAATTTTTCTGATATGTTACGAAAAAGAAGTCATAAACATCCACATGCCTTTGCTAAAAGAGAATTTATTCATAAAACGCCTAAAATATTTTTCCCATTCATTCAAAAGCGGCGCTTCTCAGCTGCAATTCTGAACTCAAACAGCTTTAATTCGTACATTTTAAATTTGATATTTAATAGATTTTTTGATTAACCTAAGAGGTTTAAGTTGATATTTTCTTTAGTCAAAACAAAAATTTTGTTTTATTTAATTTAGTTTTAAATATCCGTTGATTTGAAGCAAAATTTTTATATCATTTTCATTTAATGACTATTAAATTATTTGGATTCATCCACGGATAAAAATTTTCATCTGCAAGGCCATGTTAACGTTGGTATTCAAAGGTTTGTCACATGAAATCTGGTAAAACGTTAAGTTAATTAGTTTGAATAGTTAAAAATTAGCTGTAATTTATGTACTATAATTAGCAAAAGAAATTTTTTAAACAACCAAGGCATACTTTTTAATATTTCATCATTCTTCACTTCAAATGTAATTTAATAAATTCAACTATGCGAATTATTATTCTTTATTAACTCGTCGTAACAGCGCAAATATTTCTGTATGAAAATTTGATGAAACGTTCAACATTTTAATAATACAAAAATTGCCAACGGTAATTGGCAACGCTAAGAGAAGCCATATAAAATTACCTTGCCATTTGTTTCAATGGTAAAATGAACAGACGCGTGTCTGCTCCCGCGACAAAAAATTAGAGTGCAAATAATGGAAGGGAAACTAATTTCTAATAACTAAATTTTCTACATAAAAAAATTCGGGTTAACTGAGTTTAAATTGGAAAAAACGACCACATCGTTGAAAATATTGACTTTTAACGTATAGCATTCTAACTAAATCAGTTTAGAAACAGCAAGTATCATGACTGGGTATTCTAAAAGCATTGACATTTTGTTTGATCAGTTGCTGAAATTTATTTAGATTTATTTCGACGCCACTTTCCAAACGTATTGCAAATACAAAATAAGAGTTCTCGTTTATGCATAATAATTGCATGTGATGTTGATTAGAAAAATATCGAGTAATATTTGAACACTTTTTTCCTTTCTAATCCATATCACCTATCCAAGCTTCCTGTCATACATATGTAAAATAAAAGCTTCATGTCAAACGTAGGCGAGTTTTTTGACTTTTGTGCAGCTCATTTCCCGTCACACATATTTTAAGGTGCTACAAATTTCTTACATTCTTTTCTTACATCTTACTCAAACGCGAAAAAACTGTGAGCTCAGGCTAAGTCCGTGAACTCACGTCCAGTGTCGGATCAAGTTGGCGGGACGTTATTTGTATTTAAAGTTAGTAAAAGTCGTTGTTTTAACGGGTGTTTTGAAGAAAAATTTGACATTATGAGCTCAAAAATGAATGTAAGTAAAAATTAGGACCACATTATCAAAAAAGTAAAGTTGCTCCACGCCGGTGAACATTGAAAAATTTGTCCTAAAATTTGTAAAATCCTCTCCCCAGTCGTCAACTAATTTGATTAATTTTTTTAAATTAGAAAAATTCCTCCCGGTCGTATTTTCGATAATATTGTCCCCCTCTTCAAAGTTATCTAGATCCGCCATTACTCACGTCTGCGTGAAACCGTAAACTAAACTATATACAAATATTATTACAAAGTAATAATAAATAAAAATAAAACAATAGATGTCATGTAAACGAAAATAAGAAAAAAGTATTTGATATTAATATATCAACGTATTTTTCATTTGACAATAAATTTTTCTCATTTGAAAACATTTGGAGAAAAAATACTCACCGTTATGATATTATTTCTAAAATATTTTGATGTAGATGTGTTCTGACTATAGTTACAACTATAATCGATGCAGAAACAGAAAAAAATGGCTCTGTAACATTGCTAACGGTTACAATTTAGATTTTTTAATAATTTTTTTTGTAAACAAAACTTACTTCAATTTTACTGTAGAAACAATCGACGTTGAAAAAGACTATAATACAGGCTGCTATTAATGGTACATTACGGCCGCATACGCGATCACTGTTTAACTGAGGGAATTTATTGCAGTAAATGTAAGAAATTCAACAATTATGTGAAGTAATTTCACTAACGTCTATCAAGATTTTAGATGCTACGAACGAAAACAGAATGCTGATGAATTTAAAATGTTTGAATAGGCGACTTAGAGCTGAGTAAAAAGGTTTGTGTTGGGCTGTAAAGTTGTAGGAATGAACGGCATAAGCAATTTTTGACGATACATCAATATTGTGTCCATATATAGCTAAGTATGTAGAATATATTGTGAGAATTTTTATTTATCAGTCAATTCATTAACTAAAATTTTTAATTAATTAATTATTTAAATATGTTTAATCAATTTAAAATTATGACAATCATGTTTTGTTTATAATGCAAACATAACCTTAGTTTATAATGTTAAATGTTTTAAGAACAAATTAAGTACTTTTAACAAAAATTCACTGGAATGCTTACCCATTGCTACATACGTTTCTTTGTCATAAAAGCGAAAAAAATAATGGTAAAAATCGTACAGCATATTTCCTGATGTATTTTCTAATGAAAGATTTTCTGCTCTGATTCTTTATGAACCAATAATTTATCGGAAACAACAAAATCATCAAAAGCTGGCAGATAAAGTAAATGTAAAAAAATTCTAACTTCCAATAATACGGCTTCAGAATATTTTTACAAATGTGAATCACCACATTGAATACAATAGTTCCCAAAGCTATAGAACCAAGATGATGAAAAAACAAAGCATTTATTGTCGAGCAAAGAAAGTTTAAGTTAAAACCTTGATATCTAAAATCATTTGTTTACCAGAATAATTAATCAAATAAGAATTTAAAAAAAAAAAAAACAAAATTACTTTTTAAAGTACATTTTTGTCACCAAATCACTACAAACATAATAACCACAATGCTTTATAAAAACAGACAGCCAGTATGCAGAAGCATAAAAGTACCATGACGTGTACTAAAAGTTTATAAAATTTTTAATTTGAATTTACCATAATTAATTTTGCACAAACTATTGATAAAACTACAAAAAAAAAAATTTCTTACATATATTAGGTCATCCATACCATAGTAAATTGTATTTATTTCAGTTGGTACTAAAACAACTTCAAATTTTAATTTAATTTTTATTAATTCTAAATTTTGTCTATCAAAACATACATTCAAAACTTTATTTACATTGAATATTATGCCGAGCATCGCCAATCGCATTACCGTGATAAGAACATCTCCTGAAAAGTTGAACTAACTTTTCAACTTATTACTTTTGCGTCGGTTATTCAATAACAGTCTCACATTTTGTAACGCAACTTACAAATTTTATTTATAAATTCCCATAACAACACGCACGGTTAACACAATTTTTAATTGATATAAATTTTAATTTTTGTCCTCTTCTAGCATATTTATTTGTACATTTTTTTGATGTATTGTTCAATTAAACCCTGTTGTCTTTCATTGTTGGATGTTTATTTTTAATTTATTGATGTCTGTTAGGGCAGCTTCTGCTATTTTGAAGTGTATTGTATTAGTATTTTGATAAATTATTCTTGCATTGCTGTCAAAAACTTGGCGGGTTATTAAAGCTGCATGTGTTGATTGTAAATGAAAATTGATGGCTCAACACCAATATACGAATGTTGTTGACGTGCACAACTGCACAGTCGTCAACAGGGCATTTGAATTCGTATATTACGTAATTACGCTTTAAAAAAATCGAGTTTAGGAATGCAGTTGTTCTTTAGTACTAATTTTGATGTTTTGCAATTGATGTAGTAAATTCTAAATTTAATTCTATCAGTATGGGTAATTGTTGCAACGTTAATTTTAATGATTTGCTTGAGGATCGTAAACCGAGATATAAAATGTAAAAAAAAATATTGTAAAAATCTACCGTTCAGGCTATATATAGGTCCTGCGTAGATACAGAAAGCAGTGGGGTTTCAAGCAGTGAAAGTCAGGTTTTTAGCGAGGTTTGAAGCGAAGTCGTAAATGTGATTTATGTATTTACTTGGATTAGTTTAATGTTTCTATTATTGTTGGTATTCAAATAAACGTTCAACAAAGTTTTCGTTTGAAGCAGTTGTGTTCATCTATCGTAAATCTTAAACCTACGGAATAACGAACACTTGACAATCGTTGGAAGCTACAACACTGGTTTTGAAGATATAGAGAACATTGAAGTTATAACATTGGTAGTTACAAGCGTTCAAGGGTTACAACAAAATTTATAGTGTGGGAACATTTGCAAAATAAGGATTCGACCTCTAAAGAGGCAATATGATTTGATGGTTTGTTAATGTTAAGCAGATTGATAAATTTACGAGATAACTGGATATTGTCATTATTTGGAGTGTATGGAGTTAGAATTTTCTTCAAGTATTAAGCGATGAGGATTCTATTGATAGGACACCTCCCGGACAAAAACCCCCAAAACAAACCCCCCGGACAAAAACCCAAGCAAAAAACATCATGGAAAATAAATATTATTGAGAAGTATTTTTGCTATTTTAGCATTAATTTATTAATATTGTTATCCACATGTTCACGCAAATAATAGTTAATAAAAGTGTTACAGAGATGAATTATAAATTATAAAGATTTCTATTTCTATTATATTTGATTAAAATTAATTAAATTAAATATAAATAAATGAAAAATTTATATTTAACTTTGTAATAAAATAAAGAATAAAATCTATGTGAACCGACATTCAAAAATACCTGCACCTGCGAGATGAGAACCATGCAGTCAACAGACTCAACACCAGCAACAGATATATTTACATCAGGCAAAATAGAAATAACATTAAACCTCCAATGATACACAATTATCGTAATTAAAAGTATTTTTAAAACAATATTGTTCAGAATTAAGCGACGGAATTAATTACATCTAGGACGCTTATTTTCAAAATTTAAACAACACTAGACCAGGATCAATAAATTATCACCCAACAACTAATTCTACGGATGAGGTTAACTATGAAACGTTATCACTGCACAGAAAGCGTTCATCATCGAAATTAGAGTTTTAAATTATTAGAATCAAGCTTACAGTTTTAATTTATGTATTAGATAAATTCCATTGACTGTAATAACAGGAAGATAAGTTTACTGGAGGATATATGAAAATGTGAAGTCCAATGAATAATGAATGCCAAAAAGAAAGGTTATTTTTAAAAAAGGACAAACGAATGGATTTTAAAAAAATGTTTTTCCACAGCTACCCAAAACCTTGTTCTAGTGAACAAAAATTGTAAATTTCAATTAGGATGACACGATCCATGCTGCGCTTAGACTTTTGATACAAGGAGGGATGTACTCATAACAGATGACGTATATAATTTAGCGTCACACTGGCGAGACGTAAATCTTCCTACCAATTAAAATAAATTGTTTATATTTAGTAACTTTTTTTTATGAAGTTACATTCATTTCGTAAGTGTGGTTTTAACACGCTTTTGTTTGAAAAATATTATAATTAAATAGTAAAGTTGAATAACGTAAAAATTTTAATTATATTTACTTTACTAGTTGGGTTTGTCCGAGAGTTTTTGTCATGGAGGGTTTTTCGTTTGGGGGTTTTTTGTCTTGATACCGTATCGAGGATTTTGTCTTGAAATTTTTTGAGTTCATTTATGATGGTAACAGATATTTTGCATCTACTCCATTTGTTTAATACGTTCATCAGTTTAACTGATATTTGCGGAACATTATTTTGTTTTGCCTTCATTCCGGAAAAGATCGGGTATGATCGCAGAAAACTTAGGAAGGCTGGAGAGAAAAAAATGCAGATATTGAGAAGAATAATGGTCCTTGAAGAATGGTCTAAGTAATGAGTTAATAAAGAAAGGTTTAAAGATAAATGAGTTGTAACATGTATTTAGAGCTTTTAGACTGAACTTGTTCGGCCGTGCGGAGAGAAAAGCAAATGAGGACTGAGTAAAGAAATGTAAAACTATTATAACTGGGGGTTTAAGAAAAAGTGGCAGACTTATCTGAAAAGAAGTGTTGTCAAAGGATAAGAGGGCACTGGCCTGAAACCAGAACTGGTTCAGAATAGAGAAGAATCGAAGACGGTGAAATTGGCATGATCATACAAGGCCAACACGGTGTTTTAGTCAACAAGCCCTGGAACAAACACTGAGTGGCTCTGCCTCACAGGGTTGAGTGCCTATAAACGTATATGATATTTATTTATTTATGTCTATTAGATATATTATACAAATTACATATATTATATTATATGCATATGTCGTTAAAAGTAAATGCTCATTGTGCGTTCAATTTTTTTAACATATCGAACATAGATTAATGGTTTATTGCTAGATTCTCCAAAAACTCTATTTTTGAGATCAGCCATGTAAAATTTAGCGAACAACGATATAAGTTGTTTAGCCTTTATAGGATTATATTTTTGTTAGTTGAATTGTATGAGTCGTACTGTGTTTTATGCAGGGCATCAAACCGGAACTGAACCGTAACCGAAAACCGTTAAAAACAGAAATTTTGCTCGGAACAAAAACCTTAATCGAACTGTTAAAACTCTTGATGGTTCTCATATGTTTCGTTGTCTAGTATGCTTTTTTGTCGATATACTTTTCTCCTACTGGTTTCTCCATTAGTTTTATCTAGGATTGAAGTTTACACCATTTGTCTTTAAATGATTTTCAATAACTTCCTTACTCCACGGACCCACATTTCCAACGTAGTAGGTAGATTTTTTTTCAATAATTTTTGATAATTTTAGATTACAGTTAATGCCTGTTCCAAAAAATGTAGTTTGCTCTTTGTGACCTTTATCATTGCAAGTATTCAAATTAACATTGGTTAACTGCGAATTAATTGATTATATATATTTTTAAGATTTGTCAGGTTGGAAGCCATCCGTTGAATCACTATCGTCCGGAGATTGGTTCCCTGGTTTAACTCTATCAGCCCACGGTACACTTTTTGGAATTATGTTTGCTAATATGGCATAAACGTTTTTTATACTTTCATTAGCTTTGTTTATTATTTCCGTGTGTGCTGTACGAGGCACAGCTATGGACTCGGCAGCTACGTTGCTTGATTTGGCAGAATTTAAATTTATCTAGTCAAGTGCACGGTCTGATACAATGGAATTTATAGCTGAAAGCATTCTATAACTATTGTTATTCAATGCTTCCACAACAACTGAGTGTTGTGCATTCAACATAGCTTCAATGTTCTTTTTTATTGAATCAAAGTTGCAACTTAACCAATTTGTAACATTCGGAATTCTTGTCCTTCCAGCACAGAAACAAATAAAGAGCAATTTTCCAACAAACCATTTGATTTCAGGAATTTCAAAATTGCAATACATTCAATTTTTAATGTTAGCTTTAAATTGAAATTTATCAACACCGTCACATTTAATTTCATTAATTTTATCATTTTCAGAATATCCAATTCATTTTTCAGTATTTCGACAGCAGAATTAACTTCTTCACGACGATAAAATTCCGAAATATTACGCAAAAAAGTTTCATTATCAAAATAACTCGAATTATTTGTTAAAAAAACAGAGAAATTTGAATATATCTTACATACCTTTTATATAATGCACTGAAGATGAGTTATTTATAACTCCAAATAGCTACATTATTATAAGGTATGTAAGATATATCAAATATCTTACATACCTTATATATAATGCATTATATAAAAGGTATGTAAGATATTTGATATATCTTACATACCTTATATATAATGCACTGAAGATGAGTTATTTATAACTCGAAATAGCTATTTGCAAATTTATTTAATAAAAATTTTAAAAAAAAACAATAAAATGTCTAATTTCTCGGAAATTAATAAATTAAAAAGAAATATGAAAAAGTTGAACAATGTTGAAAGTAGTGTTGAATTTTTGAAATATAAATATAAATATATATTATATAAATAAGTAAATATATATATAGTGTCAGAATTATGAAATAATGCTGACTAAAAATACTGCAAAATTTTCAACGCGAAAATTATTCACTCGATAGGGGGGCATGGTGCAAGTTAATTTACTCGATAGGTGACAACGTATTTTTTTTGTTTTGCAATTTAGATGACGTCATAAATTATTATAAATTATTTTAAAATCTAATTAATACTTTTTCTGATTAATTGGACATGCCTTGTAGATTTTTATGTTTTAAAACACCCGAAACAAAATCTAATTTTGTTTTGATAAGGAAGGGTGTGAAAAGACTTAAGAGAGAAACTGGGTTCACCAGTTAGAGAGAGTCCGCTCTGGGTTGACTAGTGAGGCAGCTTCGAATAATCAGTGCCTCTTCTGGTCCCTAAGAGACTTAACGCGTGATTCTATGCTCATTGGCATAGTTTCAGAAACGTCTTAAGTTCTCAAAGAGTCAGCCTTGGGTTCACCAGTTAGGCAGCTTCGAGTAATCAGTGCCTGTTCTGGTATCTAAGAGACTTAACGCGTGATTCTATGCTCATTGGCATAGTTTCAGAAACGCCTTAAGTTCTCAAAAGTGGATTCAGTACGAGACTCTATGCTCATTGGCATAGTTTCGCACGCGTACTGAAGACACACAATTTGTTACCGGTGTTGTTCTGACTCTTGTTGTCTTGTGTTGGTCGTGCGAAAGCCGATCAGACTTGACGGCCCAGTGAAAACAGGCCAGGGTTGTGCGAAAGCCGACCGACTGACAGACAGGCCCAGTGAAAACAGGCCCTTGGTCGTGCGAAAGCCGATCAGACTTGACGGCCCAGTGAAAACAGGCCAGGGTTGTGCGAAAGCCGACCGACTGACAGACAGGCCCAGTGAAAACAGGCCCTTGATCGTGCGAAAGCCGATCAGACTTGACGGCCCAGTGAAAACAGGCCAGGGTTGTGCGAAAGCCGACCGACTGACAGACAGGCCCAGTGAAAACAGGCCCTTGGTCGTGCGAAAGCCGATCAGACTTGACGGCCCAGTGAAAACAGGCCAGGGTTGTGCGAAAGCCGACCGACTGACAGACAGGCCCAGTGAAAACAGGCCTTGGGTTCTGTGAAAACGAATCCGCCTCGTTGTTTTGTTTCTTGTGCTATTTGTGGACCTAGGGTTCTTTGCTGGATTCTATACTCATTGGTATAGTTTCACACGCAGCTTGGAATTTCCATAGGCTCCGATTTTTGTGATTCATTTTCTTTTATTGGAGTTGTATCGACATCAACATCGGATACACACGTCGAAGTTGTACGATTAAAACGCCAAGAAACATATTCCAAGTTGAAGACCCAACAAGAAGAGTTCTAATTCCTGTATTCCAGTTTGTTCATTGACATTTACATTATTATAGAGTTCATTAGTTCAATTCCTTTTATTTACTTCCGTCGATTAATAAAATTGTTATCGAATATTTTTACGCGTTCGTGTGTTACTCAGTAAAATCATATAATTCGAAAAAGCCCAGTGCCACACAGGACTGGTCGAACTCACGATAAAAATATACACAAAAAAAATTATTGTCGGACCATACAAAAATTCCCTGAGAAAGATAGAGGAGGAGATTGCTTCCTCTTATCATTTTAATTTATTATTATTTAAAATTTCCGACAATTGGCGCCCAACGTGGGGCCTTGTCACCCTTTTAAAAATCCTCCTCCTCTTTAATTTATTATTTATTATTTTAAAATTTCCGACAATTGGCGCCCAACGTGGGGCCTTGTCACCCTTTTAAAAATCCTCCT